TCGGATTTTTGCATTTACCCTCAGATGAAATTTAGTTTATATGTGTTCTGCGATTTATGCTTTGTGAGTCTTGCATTCTCGTAGGCATTTTGCTGTCAGAATGTCTGTTACGTGTTGCTATTGTCGGAAAAGCGGTCTGACTGCTGCAGTTTGTATCCGCTTCATTTTTACACATCTGGAAACGCTATGAGCTTTTCTTTCCCCTCTATAGAAACACAATAACAAAGATATTGGAGGTTACCTATCATATGACATTTTTCACACCAAGGCTTAATTTTTAGATTTATTGAAATTTAAATATCAGAGTTTTTCTTCACCATTATATTTGAACTAAAAAACTAATTTTATTGTCATGTTCTTGAATACAAAGCGACTTAAGTACAGAAAATCGCAGGTTATGATTCTTAATATAAAAATGTATTTGAATACATATTTATAAACTCTAATAAACCTTATTTTTGACTTACACATAATACAAATTACTTTTGTTAAATTATGTATTATTTATTCATATATTATCTTGTATCAAGAATTATGTAAACAAATAAATTTTAGATGCAATTTTTATTTTACGATATTTTTCATAACGTAAGCTCAATGCAATATTACATTGCACAATTTAATATTTGTTCATAAGTTTGAACTAACTGAACATTCTACAGCTCTTGAATTATCTCATTTCAAGAATTACATGAATTGTTGTATTAATAAATAAATTTTATATACAATTTTCATATTACAATATTATAAACGTAATTATTTGTTCTTTGAAATTTTATTGTCGATCGGTTTTCTCCTTACATTTTACTTAGGTTTTAACAAGAGAATATATCTATTATAAAATAGAAAGTTATGTTTCCACTAACAGATTTAAGACACTCAAGTTTGCAGCAATCAATATTATTGAATGAAATATTATTCTCTCTGCCATATTCAACAAGAAATTGTAAGAGAACATATATTTTCTTCAAGTTTCCTCAAGTGGGTATAGATCTTTTCCCCACAATGCATATATATTCAGATTCTATTGCCGTAACAGATCTGAGCCTTTGCATAAATAATAAATAAACCGTACGTTCGATTTATTTTTATTCCATTTATACGAACTACATATTTTCTCATTTTGAATTGCATCCAATATCAACCTAAAAATTGTAGATACATTGATATCGTCATTTCATATACTGCTGCGACTCGACAAACAAGAAATTTATTCACCCGGAAATGCAAGGATGGAAAAGGATTCGTACAAATTTAAAATGTTATTACTTTTTGATATCAAATTAATGTCTAATGTCTTTATAAATAATTATCACTTTGATATTACAAATACTATCAAATTTTCTTATTTCCTAAAAGAGATAAATAAACACTCAATGCTCCATCCTTTACCCAATTTATTCCACTATTATTTTTTATGTTTATATTACTCTTCCTCTATTCTTTGAGTTTTCTCTCAGAGTTACATATTGCCTTCAATTTGCTCTACTGTCACCTTTTCAACTATTTTCCATTCTGTTTATAAATTTCTGTTATGCCCAAGGCGTCTTGTGATGTAAAGAGAGATCTTTTCTAGAGAGAAAAATCTGCCTAGTTCTCGCGGCATTATAAATAGTGGTGTCTGAAGTTCTTTGAAATATCGATGTAGTTATTGTATAATTGAATTAAATAAAAATGTTAAATAGATGCTTTAGAAAGTACTAGGATATTACTGGCGTCAATTTTTATCACATTGTTGAATAATCCTTTTTTTTATTCAACAACAATCAAAACACTAATTATATTTTATGTGTTGTTATGCTGATGTGTGCCAAATAAAAATAGAATTAATGAAACAAATTATAACATGAAAAATAAGCAAATAATTATAATATGAACTAATAATTAAATTAAATTAACTTGCATATTTTGATTATTTAAGAAAACTAGTGGGTCGCATGGCATCGTGCCTTAAGGCAAATTGCTGGAACTTTCCGTACCAAATATTACTATTTTTTTAAAAACGAATAACATTAACGACTTTGGGCAATATTGTGAAAACCTAATCAATTATAAGTATAAGGACATCATTGAATACATAATTTATATCCACTAGTAACATAAATTGATTTTGATATTAATTTTATTTTTATTTATTATGATATAAAACTTATTATAATATAAGACTAAATTTGGGATATGATAATCTTACTATTATCATACTATTATATTATACTATACTATTATATATCATAGATAATTTAACTATTATCTATTATACCGTGAGATACGAATAACATTAACGACTTTGGGCAATATTGTGAAAACCTAATCAATTATAAGTATAAGGACATCATTGAATACATAATTTATATCCACTAGTAACATAAATTGATTTTGATATTAATTTTATTTTTATTTATTATGATATAAAACTTATTATAATATAAGACTAAATTTGGGATATGATAATCTTACTATTATCATACTATTATATTATACTATACTATTATATATCATAGATAATTTAACTATTATCTATTATACCGTGAGATACCTAAGCCATCAATTTCTCTATCTATCTATATATATATATATATATATATATATATATATATATGTTAAAGTAGTTAATTTTGATGTTGAGAAATATGAGTAAGTTCTTCAAGGGCATACATCAAATAAAAGGCAAAGATTTAGAAGTTAATCTTTAATTTTTCCAAACGTTTCGACATAGTATTTTATGTCATCATCAGTGGATCTACAGAATGAATATTGAAAAATTAATATAATCTAGGAAAAAATGACAGAAATTGGAAAAAGAACTATAGATATAAGTAATATAATTATAGCAATAACAATTATACTTAACAGATAGATAAACAAGAGAAATGAAAAGTAAAAAGAAATATATATAAACATACAAAAGCGTAATATATATACATAAATATACACACAAACAAACATGTATATATGATATGCATGTAAAAACACGTACACATATGCATATATACATACGAACAATACGTATATATATATAAACATATACATACGGACATGTACATATGTATATATACACATATATACATACATACACATACACATATACATATATACATACATACACACATATATATATATATATATACATATACATATACACATACATATATATATACATATACATACACATACATCTCGGGGGTGAATCCCAACTCCTACCGAGCGCGTCCCCAGGTGGCGGATCGGGGAACGTCCTAACCAGCCTTCGGGCTGGCGGATAGGGGTGAAATAAAACAGCCTCCGCGGACCAAAACGAGGTATGAAGGGGAAGTCACTTTACCCTGACTTTAACCCGTGATCGTTTCCTGCTGCTACCCACTGGGAGTGCCTGCGCCCTTGTGTTAATATTTCCGATAACTTGGGTTACGGCTGATGTGAGCTTGCTCTGCCGAGGTGTAAGTAGCAGCAGTGAATCAGGAGCCAGCCACTTCGGGCCTTGATCAGGAAGTACGCAGTGAGTGCAGAGGTCGGAATCTGCACCGCCCCGGGCGAGTCTGGTCCGTCCGTGTTTTCCGGGACATGGCTAAGTGTTGACTGGGCCTCAGGGAACTGGGGTAGAAGTATCATCTTCGAGGGTACACCCGCTCCCAGTTAAAACAACCCGCCCCTCTGCGTACGATGCGCTGGTACTTTTAATAGCATGGAATTAAATAAGGAAAAATTCACCAAAACTGCGACTATGGAAGTGGATACACACGAAACTGACGAGGGTCTGCCAGTGCGCACAAACCGAGACAGACTTCATTCAGCTCCGATTGGTAGCGGTCGCCCATCTCACGTTGAACGCTTGGGTGAAAAGATTCATGAACTGCTGGTTTTCATCCAAAAGAAGACAAATGTCCACGGTGACATAAGACGTCTAGCAGGTTCAATCAGTACGGCGTACAACCTGGCACTGAGAGATCTCTCTACCACGCTCGAAAAACCAATGGAACAAGTTGCGACGACGACTCAAACATCACCAGGGATGGCGACAACTGCGCCGCCGTGCACACCCATACCAAGCAAAGTGGTAAAAGGTCCCAAAAAAAGGCAATTATCTTCGCCAAGCCCGATCTTATCCACTGAACGTCAAACCAAAAAGCCCACGCAAGAGGGCGATTGGAAATTAGTTGACCGGAAAAAGAAGAAGGCTCCAGAACCGCGCGAGAACGGTACGGCTAAAGCGAGTCAAGAAGGCAACGGGCGTAAGGATGGCCCCGTGAAAGTGCTTCAGAAAACAAGGCGGAAAAAAGCTCGGACCAAGGCAATCCTCATAAAGCCTTCGGCTGGACAAACCTACGCTGACGTGCTAAAGAACATAAAAGGCAAGGTAAACCCCGAAGAAAGCGGAGCAAACATTAAGTCCATACGCCAAACAAAGGAGGGCGGAGTATTGCTAGAGATTAGCAAAAAGACCAATGATGACACAGCTTTCACGGAAGCAATTAAAACGCGGTAGGCGGCTGTGGAACGGTCAAGCGATTGACGCCGATGACCACCATCGAAATACTTGATCTGGACGGAGTGTCTACCGAAGCCGAAATCCGGGAAGCATTAACGAGAGATTACAAAGAAAACCTTGAGATAAGGCGCGTGAACCTAACTAAGGTTACCCCTAGAGGTCAACGGGCAGCCTTCTGCAAGATCGATGAGGCTAGTGCTATGAAGGCCCTCGAAAAGGCCCGCATCAAGATCGGATGGGTGAATTGTCGCATTCGATTAGTGGCAAGAGTACCTCGGTGCTTCAAATGTCTCGGATTTGGACACCAGTCTCGCTACTGTAAAGGACCAGATCGGAGCAAATGCTGCTATAAGTGCGGTGGCGAGAACCACAAATCAGCAGACTGCACGGAACAACCAAAATGCTTTCTGTGCACTTCAAATGGAAAAGACAAAGATAGCGTGTGCCATATCTCCGGTTCGGGTGCATGTAATGTATACAGAGCCGCCCTAGCGGAAGCGACGAAAACGCAGAAATGACACGAATACTTCAAGGAAACTTGAATAGATGTTCGCTTGCGCAGAACCTACTTTACCAGCGCGTAGCTGAGGACAAAATTGACGTCTGCATAATTAGCGAACAATACCAGAGCGCCCTTGTTAAATCATGGTACGTGGATAAGACGAGTACAGCAGCTATCTGGTTAGTGACTCGGAAGATTACTCCCGTAGATACCGGATCTGGGGATGGTTATGTCTGGATAAAAACCCCTGAAATGTATATCATGAGCGTATATTTATCTCCCAACGAAGGAATCAGCGTGTTCCGCCAGAAGCTGACCAGCATCGAGAACCATCTGTGGATTTAATGGCGAAGTCTTAATAGCTGGAGACTTCAATGCTAAGTCTGTGGAATGGGGCGCAGATTTCTCAGACACCAGGGGAAACGAAGTTGCGGACATGGCAGCGAGGCTCGATCTTACAGTCCTAAATACTGGAGTGACGTCGACATTTAGAAGACCTGGTTATCGAGAGTCAATTCTCGATATTACTCTGGCGACTCCAAAAACTGCCAGTAGAATCCAGGACTGGAAGGTCTCCGAGGAATACACTGGAAGTGATCATCAATCCATCATCTACTGGATAGAAGAGACTACCCACCACGTACACCGAGATTACGAAAGATGCAGCTGGAATACCAGGAAGTTGGACATTGATGCTCTACGAGAATCCCTCACGCGGGGGTGTGTGACACTCGAATCACATCCGTTCCCAACTAACAGCAGCGAGACGGAAAACATTGTAACAAAAACGATGAAGATTATAACTGCAGCATGCAATGCTTCTATGCCACGTCGTAAAACACAGGACTTGCGCCGGCCAGCATATTGGTGGACATGCGAAATCGCAGAGCTGAGGAAAAAATGTCACCAACTCCGACGACGAGCAACAAGAGCTGCTAAGCACTCCCCAGCTCAGACCTACTACTCCAATGAGTACAAGGCGGCCAAGAAGGAGCTCAATAGAGCCATCAAGTCCAGTAAAGGCAAGCTGTGGGCAGAAATTTGCAACGACCTCAATAACGATGTCTGGGGCAAAGCCTACCATATAGTCGCAAAAGGATTGGGTAGAACCTTACCAGAGCCGCCAAAAAGCCCGGCTATGATGAACCAGATTGTCACTGAGCTCTTCCCAAACCACCCAGCGCGGAAGAAGAGTCGCTACAAGAACACCACCAATGTGTTGCAGTTCACTGTTTCGGAACTGCAAACCGCAGCAAAAACCCTGAAACTAGGGAAAGCTCCCGGCCCTGACGGTATTCCAACACAAGTGATTAAGCTCATTGCACAGGAATTTCCTTACATCCTGTTGAATGCTTACAATGCATGCCTTGTGACTGGAACGTTCCCTTCTGTCTGGAAACGACAAAGACTCGTCCTTCTCGACAAAGGAAAGGGACCTCCGATAACAGCTTCATCATACAGACCACTGTGTATGCTGGATATAACTGGGAAGCTGCTTGAAAAACTTATCAAAGCCAGACTTCGAAAAGATGTTGAATCCTCCGGAGGTTTCTCCTCAAGCCAGTACGGCTTCCGGAAAGGGCGATCAACCATCGATGCAATCAAAGAAGTTGTAGAAACCGCAACAAAGTCGTGGGCTGGCAGCCTAAAGTCTAGGAAAGTTTGTATACTTCTCACGTTGGACGTGAAGAATGCTTTCAACAGCGCATCGTGGAAGTAGATTGGAGGCGCTGGAGAAGAGATTCCGGGTGAAAGATGACATCTTGACAATGGTGGACAGCTACCTGGACGATCGAGTACTCATCATTGAAACCACTGAGGGAACAGTGAGCCGCAAGATAACAGCTGGTGCACCACAGGGTTCGGTTATGGGACCTGATCTGTGGAACGCTGACTATGACGAGCTGTTCGAAATTCCCTTACCCCCGCAGGTGCATCTCACAGGGTTTGCGGATGATGTCGCAGCTACTATTGTGGCAGACAGCGTTGAAGAGGCCGAGGTACTGGTCGATTTCACCATCGAAGCCGTCGCGGCCTGGTTGGACCAGCACCATCTGAAGCTAGCCAAAGAGAAAAACGGAGATGGTAGTCCTAACACGCCAAAAATGGTTCCCAGAACCGTTTAGTACAATCATCGACGGCGCTAACACTGACGTCTACAAAGTCAGTCCGCTATTTGGGTGTTCAGTTAGATGCAAAGCTGACATTCCGTGAACACTTGGAACGCACGTGTACAAGGGCTAGCAAGACTGTGTCTAGTCTATCGAGAATCATGGCCAATACTATCGGCCCACGTGCAAAAAGAGGAGAGCTCTCCTGGAGGTGGTTCACTCAGTCCTGCTTTACGGAGCGGACGGAAATCTGGGCGCATACATTACAACAGAAGACGTATCGTAAGAAACTGGCAGCAGTGCACGGCGAGGAGCACTTAGAGTGGCTTGTGCTATCGCACAGTTTCCGAAGACGCAGTGCTTGTTATAGCTGGAGCTCCGCCTATAGACCTTTTGGCGAATGAAAGGGCCAGGTTGTATAACCCAAAAAAGGAGCCTCAATGCCAGCGAAGCGAGGGCAATGGTGAGAAAGT